GGTCCTAGAGGAGGTCAACCCCGACTGCTCTTTAGAAGGTCCTAAATCCTGAAGAGGGAACTCAAATCCTTTGGCCATCTAATGAGAAGGAAGAAGGACTCCCTGGAGAAGAGCCTCATGCTGGGAACGATGGAGGGCAAAAGAAGAAGGGGAGGGCAGAGAATGAGGTGGCTGGATGGAGTCACTGAAGAAGTCTGCGTGAGCTTCACTGGACTCCAGAAGATAGTAGAGGACAGGAAGGCCTGGAGGAACATTGTCCATGGGGTCGCGATGGGTCAGACATGACTTTGCAACAACAAGGTATAGCCATTTATTTTTTTGCCTATGCTATCATTGTATTGTCTTACCTGCTCTTGAATGCACTCACCAAAGCTGTGTATCCAAAAGGGTCTGGCTCATTAGGTTTCCCACGGCTAAGGATGTGTCTCTTGACCCCTTCTAGGTCTCCATTCAATGCAGGATTCCAGATCCCTATGTAAACAATTTTTTTTAAAGTAAATATGGTAAATCCTTTTGTTGGGATTCAGAATAAAGAATACCTTAAAATTAGCTACAGGCTTTCACCAATCGGAAACCCTGCCTATGTTGGAACTACAACTGGATTAGGTGGTCGTTAAATGAAGATGATGATTGGTATGAACTTTAGAAAATCATGCTCTTATTTTTTTTCCTTGTAAAGCAAACACACACTTTGAAGAACACCACAAAGTGTTGAGGTGACATGAGTCTGGTGTGTTGCATTTTGCTTTTTTAAAAAAATCCTACCTTTGGAACTCACTGCCACAAGTAATCCTTATTGTGAGCCTCTGCAAACTCACCAGTGCATCTTTTCCCAGAGTTCCCATACCTCTCTCAAAATCCATCTCATCCAGAGTCTGGTGAACACTCTGCACAGGAGAGGGGTGGCAGGAACAGGCCCCATTCTCGTGGTGTCTCGGTGGCCGAGTCATTGCGGCTCCTCCGTCTTCTCAAAAAATTCTTTATTGGCAAAGGGGAAGACGTGGCTCTTGATGCAGGAATGAACCTTTTTGGCTGATGGCCCAGGGATCAGCCCTTGGTCTAGAAAAGGCAAGGCCGTTTCCAGAAGGAAGGTTTTCTGCTCACTCCAGTCTGGAACAGAAACAGAAAATCATGCAAAAAAAGCATTATTTCTTAGCCTGCCATGGCCGACCAGTAACAGAGTCCAACCTCTTAGGAACTGCTGTATCTTCTCTAAACAAGGAGAAGACATTGTGTGTGTGTGTGTGTGTGTGTGTGTGTGTGTGTGTGTGTGTGTGTGTATATGTATGTATGTATATTCTCTCATTCCTCTCTCA